TATATTAAAAATGGCAAAACAATAAACTTATCACAAAGTAAGTTTCTGAATAATGTATATATATTATAATACGCATCCCACTACCTATACAGAGTTACTTTTCAAAGTGTCCAAATTAAATAATTAAGCTCAAAATATAAATATTGTAATGTAAATACTTTTTACAGTTTTTAAAAATACGCTTAAATAAGGTTTCTTCATTTATTTCAAAATATCCGAAATTGAATGTGATTTATGGGCAAAAACTACAGTGTACGCGCGCCCGTGTACGTAACAGTCAACGCACGGAGCTTACGCTTACTATTTAATTCCATAATTACACGCTCGCTACTAAGTACTCTCGCTCGCTCGCTCGCTGCTAAGCGACGCGAATTATGATTTTTCGACTACCGGGCTTATTACTAAATGACCACCTCGACCACTTGCGTTAATTCCTTGTCTTTGCAAACGTGGTAAAGACTAGAGATGAAACGGATAGCTGTTTGGCCGGATGCCGGATACCGGATATTCGGCCAGACTTATCACCGGGTAGCCGGATATCCGGCCGCTGGATATTCTGCCGAACATTGCCGTTTGGTTCATCGCAAGAAGCGTAAAGTCAGTGCAAACTGTTCGCGATCATGACCCTCATATTTGGTGGGCAGGTATTGCTACACAATACCCAAGTTTATCAAAAGTTTGCCAAAATCTATCTTTCAGCAGCCTGCAGCAGTGTGTATAGCGAAAAACTTTTTTCTGAAGCTGGCCTTGTTTATGAAGACAGACGAAACCACTTGTTACCTTTCAATGCAGAAAAAGTAGTAATTATTCATTATAATTTGCCCTTAGCTACGTAGTACTATTATATATTCTGTGCCTTAGCGCAGTACCTATGAGTATTCATTTTGTAAGTTTTAAAATTTTGTTTACTGATTATATTTGTTAAGTGACATAAATTAAGTACTTAATTAAATTTAATATTTTGTGTATTTTTTTAAACCGGTATCCGGTCGGATAGCTTTTTGCTATCCGGTATCCGGCCGGATAGTAATTTTAGGCCGGATAGGCCGAATACCGGAAATCCGTTTCATCTCTAGTAAAGAATCATTTTCGTGTAATCTTTGCCGCACCAAGTAAATTTTTATTGCTTAAAATATGTAACACCGTACCATTTCATAGCATTCGCTGTTTGAATATTTTCGTTGTGTCATTGCTAACGCAGTGACAATACTACCTACGAAAATTTTAAAATAGCACATTCGTATGTAGTAGGTCACGGTCAACACTATCGGTTAACGAAAGGAAAAAAGGCGGGACGCGCTTGTCTTTACCGAGTCAAATTAGTTACCTAAATCTGTAACTGAGTACGAACGCAGAGCGCCACCCACTCCTTCCCAATTCAATATTCCCTTACGAATCTGTGCATGCGTATCAAAATAGTACACGTTACATATTTATGAATCACAATCAGTTAAAATAATGCATTAGCACACATTTTGAATTTAAAAGATAAAAAGGACAAAATATTTGTTTTTTTTTTAATTATTCGCTTATATTATCCATTCTGAACCTCCTCAATAAATTTGGGCATACATTACAAATAAACCCTAAATAAAGTGTCTGACTGTAACATCGAGATAACTACCTATTATTGAGCTGAGAGTTATTTGCATCCCATTAGGACATGAATAACCATTTAAAAGTAAAATGTTTGTCTGTCCGGGATAATCTACGGAATGGCCGAACTGATTGTAATTGACGAACAGACAGTAAGCAATGCTAAGAGTGATCTAGGATACATTTTATCCAAAAAAAACTTGGAGATTTCTTTTGATAACTCGAAAAATTTAAAGAATAAATGAGTGTTAATGATATCTCAAATCTAAATAACGCCACACTAATGGATCCTATACAGGCGAAGCCGGGCGGGTTGATAGTTAATGAAATTCTTTTTTCCAGCATCTGAACTCAAACGTTTGATTGTTAAACAATATTAACGGGACTAATGTAACTTCGAATGTGTTTGAAATTTATATGAGACCATTGTGAAAATGTGCTCTATCAGTGACAATGTCCAGCTAAACGGTTTACCGATTTAGGAAATGTATTGCATACAAGGAAGGAAAAAGGAAGGAAAGGAAAGTTATCAATTCGACTGACTGTACACAGTTTAGACAGTCAGTCGAATTGATAACTTTCCTCATTTTTTCAGACTTAAAAAGATTTATCGCCCATGTCTTAGATCTTCACTCAAGAAATCTATAAATATAACGCACACAATGATCGATTTTCATTTTTGCTATCGAATAAAACTCGTTTAATTATAATCATTATCTAGTTATAATTCTATAACATGATATTAAGGCGGAGATCAAAATTACATTAATTGACGACCCAGCACATTACTAACTACAATTCTCTACTTCTTAGTTTTGTATTTTTTACATTCATTGACATTTAAAAATATATATCGGTGAACAGAGTTCAGATTTTTTAATTACTAGACAAAACTTAAATGCTTGACTGCAATTCCATGTGTATATAGTGTTAAAACGATATATTGTTAGGTCATATTATTTTTAAGAATTCTAATAAAATCTAACCAACAGCCTAAGTATTATTGGCAAACCTAAGAATCATGTGGTGGTACGGTATGTTTACCATTTATTCTTAGGATTTAAAAGGCTAAGAGCCCATTATTCAACCCTGAGTTAAAATTTATTCATTCAACAACTGAACTTTTTTTTATCAATTGAATTGAATTGAATTGGAAAATAATATATTAAGGTAACCTTAACAACATAATGATTTTAATTTTTACTTACTTTCAAATTGGTCAACTTTTCCAAAAAGAAAATAATAAAGAAACTATACATTTTTCCTTTTTTAGGCTATGTAGGTATTTTCTTAAAGTTTAAAAATTCTGAACCCTGTTAACCTTTTAAATATAATCAAACATTAAAACATCACACTAAAATAAACAACACCTTACAACTAAACAAACGAAATATAGCGATTCATTACATTTTATTTACGTCATATTATATTTTTAAAGAATCAATTACTTTACAAAAAAATTGTCATTATATTCTATTAATGTATGGATTAAACGATTTAGCCTATCGAAATATATTATTTTTATTTAAGCCCATTAAATACACGCACGATGGACGAAAAACCAGATTACACGATATTAACGTAATTACAACATAAGTTTTGGCTTGACAGTGGAACTTTAAAGAAAATCTATAATAGATATAACAGCATAAAAGAATAAAAATTTTGCTATCGATTGTTAGGAAAAAATTTACTGGAATCCATAACAAAAAGACCCTTTACAACCTATAGTCGCTCCCTGCTTGAAGTTCAGGCGTACACATAAAAATTAACATAATTATGTCGATACAAAAAGGAAGGAAATATAAATTACGAAGCAACCCATTCCCAAGCCAAAACGCAACACATAAAACATTAAATTAATAAAAAAGAAACTTAAAGAAATACGATCTTAGTTTTTAAATAAAAAATAGCACCTGCAATGAATCGAGTACTCTAATCCCCATATAAAATATAAAGGCAATGGTATAACGAGTAAATATTAATACGTGAAAAGAAATGCCCTCCCACACGCCGCGGTACAGTCATGCACACAAGTGTTAAGTTTTAATTCAACGTAGCTTAATTTTGGGGTTAACTAGTATCACTATGAAGCACTGACCAAACTATTAGTACCACACAATTGCGCCTAATAAAGTCTCTATTGTGTATAATTTACTAATACTTTTTGGTAACGGGACAGTATATGTGTGTGTAGTATGTGTGTAGCTGCCACATATTAAAATATTCCCGATAAAAGCATATTGATAGAATTCAGCTAGTTAGTAAATCAATCTAATTATGTTTTATTCAAGATAAAATCCATTAAAAAAGTACATATTGAAGAATTTATTACATTTTGTAAAACACACCAATTATAATTGCAAAGAATATTGATAATATTGTCAAATATGAAAACAACAAGTGGCAAAAATAAAAATTTTGTGCAACCGACTTCAATATAAATAAAATGAGAATATCATCAATGCAGTTGCAGTAAATTCAAAACGCATTATTAAAGATAACTCAAAAACTGCTGGTCAGATCTTGATCAAATTTATATGGGACCACATGAGAAGCATCAGCTTTCAAATAAAAAAAAGAATCTAAGCTAAGAATAAAGCTAAGTACATAATTTCTGCAAACATAGATTTAAACTCGTAATTACAATGGAAGTATTCAATATTATCTAATATTCTAACTATCAACACCAATTAAGGCCGATACTAAATAAAACGCCACTTTTGGTCACGACTGTACTAAAAATTATTTTATTGCTGAACACGAAACAACACAAAACGCCCGAAATCACAGATTATAAAATTAAATTAATAATGTCCACTTTAAAAACGTAAAAACTTATTATTTAAAATATATGTATTAAATTTATTAGGTATTGTAATGGACAAGATTTACAAATGGTTAATGAAATTAAAATCAAATTAAAGTAAGGATATAAACTCAGTTCTAGTTCATAGCATTTGTAAATCTGATTGTGCACATTACAATAATAGTATTATATTTCCTACGAATACTAAGAAACTATCTATTCAGACAATGTTATTTATAATGCTACATGTTTACGGGAGGATATTTACCATTTTTCCAAACATTGTATTATCCAAGACATTATATTTTTTAACTTTTAATTGTATAGCAACATTGTCAAAATAAGTTAGAACAGAAACATTAATGGTCATTGATAGAAGATTCTCCTCCTTATCATACTGGACGTAATTGAGAATATTTTGGAAGGTACAGCAAGGAAAATGTATCCAGATCTTTTTTTTGCAACGCCTATTTCAATTTGTGTTGTTTTTTTATCAAGTGCTATAAAATCAAAATCTCTTCGAAAATTCGATTTCCCCTTTACAGGAGGCAGAACAATAAGAAGTGACTTACTTCTATCTTTAATTAAAGCCTACTTAGTCTGGAGGCAGGTAACTGAATAGTTTGTACTTGTCTCTTATGTATGGTCGGACATCGTCTTTCTGTAATGAAACAAAGTAAAGAATAATCAAATTATTTATTAAAGCATTAACATAATTTAAATTTTACATTTTTATAATATATGGGGGGGGGGGGGGGCGATGAGCACACAGTCTACCTGGTGGTAAATGACCTACAGATATCTATATTTAACCTCAATTACGAATTATCCTTCACTGCTGGTCGTATGAGGACGCTCAAAGTCGCTTAGCAAGCTATGAAGAGGCTATGCTCGGGGTTCATCTGCGTGATAAACTCAGAAATGAGCATATCCGCAGTAGAACCAGAGTGACCGACATAGCCTAACGGATTAGTAAGCTGAAGTGGCAATGGGCCAGCTATATAGCTCGAAGAACCGACAACCGTTGGGGAAAAAAGGTTCTCGAGTGGCAGCCTCGTATCGGTAGGCGAAGTGTAGGGCGACTCCCCACTAGATGGAGTGACGACCTGGTAAGACACGCAGGAAGTCGATGGATGCAGGTGGCTCAGGACCGTGCTTTGTGGCATACCATGGGGGAGGCCTATGTTAAATTGCCTCATATGGGGACTTTAATAGGCTGTACCGGTAACACCCCCATTCGCCTCGTGGGTGTCGTAAGCAACTATATAAATTCTAGAAGTCTTATGACTTTCAATAGTCTCCGGTATAACATTCCCGTGTAAAATATATGATTGTACCTAGACCGGTGGGGTTAGCATTATCATGAGGAAGTATGGTCTGGGTTGATACTTACAGTAGCGAGGTGCTCAAGGAATGGAAGCAGCTTGAGTAGCTCATTGTCACTGCGATCCACAAACCAACTGTCTATGGGTATTCCATTCTCTAGTTGGTACCCAAAAGCCTGCGAACAAAGATTTTTTTCATAGAATAAGGGTGGTAAACGAGCACACAGTCCATCTGATAGTAAGTGGATGCTGTGGCCCATAGACATCTATCTACATTTATCCTAGATTAAGAAATCAAAATGAAGATGCATTGTCACCCCTGAGGCATAAGATAGAATTTTATTTCCAGTAAAAAGGGTTTCCGGTTCTCTACACTCACCATACGAAACAGCAGCATTAAGCTGCTATTTTGTTATTTTTGTTTGCTGCCGGTGTTCTGTGAAAGCGTGGTCCTACCCTGGTCAAGCTACATCCATAATATAGCTGCAGCATTGCACTATCACGTAATTTTTATGTTAGCTTCACATCCTCGAAATATAAATTCCTATTTGATATCCTTTGATATGTTCTCGTTCACCACTGATCATTTGGTTAATCCACACTTAACTACCAAAAATTTCATTGGCGTCGACGGGGATCGAACCTAAGTTGCGCCAATACTGGAAAAACTCACGACGAATATTTAGACCCTGATCTAAGACGGCTCATATTAAGAGTAAATAAAGCAAATCTAATCTATTTTTTAGAACCTTTAAAATCTGTTATAAATATTAAAAATTATAATAATTGAGTTTTCTTTTCTAACTACTTGTGCGAAAATAAGTAATATTATTTAAATTAATGTCATACTCAAACATTGCCGCCATGTTAAATTCTTGGTTTTTCTTTCTTTTGTTGTGTCGGAGACTAACACTAAGTCAACTGCTTGCTAATAACCTTTACCGACTCATTTCATGAACATTAACGTTACACATTACACAGAGATAATTTTACAAGTGAATCTCGATCTAGCATGACATGGATTAAAACATATTCAAAATTTTTATTTATTAAAAAGGTTTTATGTTATAACAGCGATGTTTTTAGACACTTTATTTCTTTCTTTGTTAATGGACACGATATTTACTGTTGTATTTTTGCCAGTGTTAAATAATAAGAAGTTTTTAAAAAAAAATATTGTATCAAAATATGTTCATAATACGATCATAATATTATGAAGTAAATGCCGTGACCAAACATCTACTACATATATCCACGATTACGAACCAAAATCACCCCTGATTAGAGGATTGTTCGCACCGTACGCGCCGCATTCATTTGCACGTACACGCCGTACGAATTTTTTTTTTTTGTATTGCGTACAACTTTAATAAATTAATTGAAAGTTGTAAAAAAGTGTTGTCAGACGACTCATTGTTGCCCACACAGTAAAATTAAATGCTCCTGAAATTTAGTAAAAATATTTTTTCGAAACGAATGTGGAAACCATCGGTTTTAGTGTAAAATCCACTAATTTGGCAACATTAGACAACACTGAGCATCAGCACGCGCTGAACGCGCCGCGTTACATGACTTCATCAGCAGCACACCTTAAATATTCGGATATCTATAGCATTTTATAAAATACGGGGCATACGGTGCGGTGCGGTTACTTTACAAGTGTCTGAGGATATATATGCTCACTCTATTCTCTCAGTCTATGTTATATGCATACATGTATGTTTAGAAAACGGTCACCCATCCATGGACTGACCGCGGTAAGTGCAGCTTAATCCACGAGTTCCTCTTTTCTACGACTAACGCTATAGGCGATGAACCTCGCTATTAAGCCCTCGGCACACTGTTGTCGGCCATCAAGCATGAATCGACATCGAGCGTTGTATCAAATACTATGGAATTTATTCTACCCTGGTACATTGAGCCGCGCGTCATATGCAGGGGCGTCTAGTGCGAATGTGCGAAGTTTCATATGATTTCATACAACAAATTCTATAAAATGTGGCGCATACAGCGCTGACAAATTTGCGTTCAGCTTAAAATGGAGTGCCTAATTACTAGTAAAAAGAGGTCTTTACATTTGTCTTACGAAACATAGCAAGCGGTAAGCTGCTATTTTACGCCGGTATTTTTGACGGCTCCGTGGTGCAGTGGCTTAGCATTGAGTTGCGACGCAGAAGGTCACTGGTTCGAATATCGCACGGATCAAATATTTGCATGGTCTACAAATAACTATTCCGGGTCTGGATGTTTGTCCTTGTGCAATTTATGTTTGTAAACTACCTCCACGATACAGGAAAAAACCTAGTGTGGGGGTAAAATTCACAGTGACAAAACACAAGAGAGAGCGTGGTCCTTCCACGGTCGAGCCGACCTATACGAGCTACAACCACAATATACCGTGGCTTTACACGTAAAAAAACTTACTTGTGGACTGTTATCGACGATGACGGTCTTACGCAAGTCGCGGCCCAAAATGGACAGGTCCTTCACGTAGTTTCCGTTCACTAGCAGGCAGTGCTCGCGGAACAATCTGTAAGAGAAATTCAATTAAACAAAATGTAAAATTTTTATCAAAATTGATAGAATCAGGCGTTACTTTGCGGAATTCCATTATAATAAAGATATTAAAAGTTATTTTGCAACCATTCGCTAAATTAAATAAAATGATGTATCTTTATCAAAAGTCTACTGCTGTAAATAGAATGTTGTAAGTCACACGATCACCTTAGCTTAGTATGGTTTAAAATTAGCATTACATAGATGGGAAAGAAAACGTTGTACTCGCCTGTACTTGATCCAGCGGCGCGAGGGGTCCAGCAGGTTGAGCAGGCGGTCCGCGTACACACGCTTGCTGGCCGTGAATAGGATCACCTCGTACATCCGCGACACGCGCGACAGGAACTCCGCGAAGTGCGGCCGCGTGCGCACGAACACCTGTATATATATATGTACCTGTTATATAAATATAACTATATAACCTATATATATATATATATATATATATATATATATATATATATATATATACATATATACACACACATACACACAACACACACACACACACACACACACGCAAACCACAAACACAAACGCACGCACGCACGCACGCACGCACGCACGCACACGCACGCACGCACGCACGCACGCACGCACGCACACGCACACACACACACACACACACACACACACACACACACACACACACACACACACACACACGCACATGCACATAAACATGCACAAAATCGTCTTAAACCAAGTACATAAAATAAGTGTATAAAATGTAACTTAATTTATATTTATTGCATTATGATTATTTTTTCAGATACAGTAATAACAATATTGAAAAATCCAATTAATCAAGAATTATCTGATAAATTCTTTCAATTTAAACATAGGTATATTAAATACCGAATATTTACTAATATTTACGAATACTTAACTTTAGCAAAAAAAAAACATACCTACATTTTTCTTCTTTTTCTAATAAACTTTATTATCATTATCTCCTTAAAGAAATGATAATCTTGTGGCCTCTTCTCACATCTCAATTTTTGGTTTTCTTGTCAAATCCGGTAGTGTCAATTTAATAATGGAAAATGTTCCTTTATTTGTCAATCAATTCCTTTTTTAATTATTTTCTTGTTTTATATAACGATATATTCAGGCTGCGGCGGTACGCATGCATCGTCGCAGCGCACAGAGTGGCAAGGTCAGGAGAGGGTCAGGGAGACGTGTTACTCTTGGTATGACTTCAATTATACTACTATATTCACAAACACTAATAAAATTATCGTGGGACCTACACTACATCACAGCAAATACACATGCGCGAGCAAGCACGCACGCACACGTACACAAGCGCACGCGCGCGCTCGCACACACACTACTCCTCATTATAAGCCAGTGAGACTATTTTCAAATGGGCATATATTGCGTAGCATATATAGTGTTTGCAGCCCCCTAACACCCTACCCATCATCATCATCATCACATCCCACATCATCATCAAGTTCATTACTGAACCTCTTCCTCCAAATAATGCTACAAAACACGGTCCTAAACCTGCATCTAACAATAGTAAGCTGAAGTGGTTGGCCAAATAACTCTATTTGAGTACGACATGGTAAGATCCTAAACATGAATGCACGTAAAATAATATACAAGAAGGAATAAACTTACAGTATATCTGCAATCTTGGAAGAGCACTGGAAAGTGGAAGCTGGCATCGGGCAGTTCTTGCAAAGAGCAATGGACCAGTGTTTCGTCAAGATCCAACACCTACAAAAAAATCCTTAGTTACAAAGCTGCAACATTCAATAAAACTTTTCAACATATGAGAAATATTATATTTAGCTTTAATCACGATACTTAGCGATTGTATTATCGAGAGATTTTTAGCGGACTTCAGAAAATGGTTCTCAATTCGACTGGATGTTCTTATTTATGTGTTATCACGCGATATTTTCGTCAATATTTAAACGATTTTAATGAATATTTTTTCATTAAATCGGTTATACTTCAGGGTAGTCCTATATTACTTTGAAGTAAAAATTCTACGTCTAATGATGAAAAAATAGGAGATAATTTTTTAAATATAACTGTTTACACTGCATTTCAGCATGTGATATTCTACACTAAAAAGGATCAAATTAGACTTTAAAAAGTAAAAGCCAACTTCAAAGAAGTAAAAGAATAAAATAATTCTCACATTACTATGTGTACTTCACATTACTACGATTAATCATATGACCTTAATACATATTTGTATATATAAATTATGTGTCACATTGTTCATCTGTGATGAACTCAACTCAATCTATATATCTCTTCACAACTTACTGGATAGTACAGTAATAAATGTAGTAAGAGCCTAATTATGTAATAATAAATGTAGTGAGACCGACTTACAACGTAAGGCTCTTTCAAAGCCTATTATAGATTTTATATTAAACTTCTTAACTAGCAAATTTATTTCAATAAAGTTTTGCACACTGTGTGCAGTTTGGTCCAACTTGTGAAATAGGATAGTTTTTATCCCGATAAGTGACCCTCAACATTTTTTATTGCGAATATATGGATATTTTATTGGGCAAAGGATCGTCGAAAAGGGCAGAATTACTATGTGTGCCTGTCAGCTAATCCTTATATATAATCTGATAGAAATTATTTTATTATTTTTTAAAGTTTTTGAAGTTGGGTCTTACTTTTTATTTTCTAATTCTAAATTTTCTTCACAATTACTGAGGGCACTATAATTTTCCATCCATAAGGGATTCTAGTACACTTATACCCAAAAGAACAAATTAAAATTAAGTATGTATATCCCTATCTTACTGTAAAAGGTTTGTAAATGGTATGTGAGATGCAATTAGCTTTTACATTTTTCGATATTTCTTTATTTGAATTGGATATTTCATAATCAGTGAGAAAATACTTAAGCAAGTTCTTTGCCTAATATGAACCGACTATTAGGCAATGATCTTTGTGATTAAAACAGTTTGTTTTTAAACATAACAACTTTTTTTTCTTTCACATGCAACAAATAATTTAAAGTCTTATAAACATTATAGAGTTACTTACAAGACTGAAGTCTGGACTAGTCCTGGTCTTTAATGGAAGAGCGGGATAACGTGCCCGTAGGGCACGTGTAGATACGCTTTCTAGTGGCGGCAACTATTGATGATAAAAAAATTAGTATACATGCATTATTTTTATGCATGGTAGAGCCACACTGTAGCAATATTATGGTTGCAGCAAAAATGGGTCAGCTTGACCGGGGAAGGACCACAATCTCACAGAATGCCATCGAAATATAGCAGCTTGATGCTGGTGTGTTTCGTATAGTGAGTGTAGAGAACTGGAGACCCTTTTTACTGGAAATGAGGAATTCCATCTGTTGTCCTTAGAAGTGACAACGCATTTGCATTTTGATTCTTAATCAAAGATAAATTTAGCACACAGTAAAACATGCATGTTTATCACCTTTATGCTGTAAAAAATACAAATACATATTTACAGTACACATACTATGTTATCTGATACGTTTAGATATCTGGTATAAGCTAGTTTTTCTCCCTAGTATGCCAACCCAAAAAATAGCCAGCCTTTCACAGTGATACTATATCTTCTTCGGTCACACTTACGACAAGTCAAATGTCAAAAGCTGGAGTTTGGCTTACAATGGGAGACATTGTAGGGAGAATTTGCCTTGTCATGCATGACAGACAGATTGACGATCACAGTACTAGGCATCTTTGACTCTACTGTGCCAGTCTACGTATTTTACCATCTATCCATCACAGTTGATAAAAGTCCATTGCTGAACATAGGCCACCCCCAGATTGCCTTATAGGAGGATTTAGGCATAGTTGTCACGCTTTGCAGGCGTTTTCTTTATTTTTGTTCAGCTGTTACCAGGAGATGCTGCTGCTCATCTCTTACAGTTTCCCCCTATCGCCTCTTACGACACCCATGGGATGATATCGGGTAGTGGGTATTCTTATACCCGCCACTACACGGTTATCGTATTTTACATCTGGTGGTAATTGAGATGGTTCTATCACCATTTATCAGAAGCCATTAGACCTATCTGGCATTTCCCTATACTTGCATCTTACGCCACCCACAGAATCAATTGAGGTCATGGGTTCTTTTACACCACCATCACACTGAATGCTTTCAACTTAACCTTATTTTTTTTTTAAATATATAAAACATGTCCTTTACATTAGGATTTCTTCCTGTACCGTGGAGGTAGTTAACATACATAAATTGTGCACAAGCACAAAACATCCAAAACCAGAACAATTATTTGTAGCTCATACAAATACTTGTTCCATGCTAAGTCACTGTACGTAGCCATCATATGTCTTAATTTATGTTCAACTAGTAAGTCAAGTATTCTAGTTTGTCATAATGTCATATAGTAAAATGCTGGTTTAAAATAGGCATTGCTGCAATGCAAATAAAGTTCAAAATTTGACACACATCTGTGGCATAAATACCTGTTTAATGAAGAGGTAAGGATCAAATGCATCCACCCATGATGATATTTGTTCACAGTCAACACGGTTGTTGCAAGATGATATAACATCCAAACCCTCTGCCTGCAATAACACATTTTATTATTTATTATAAATCTCATCATTATAATATTATAAATGTGAAAGTTTGTCTGTTTGCGTGTTTGTCATTTAATCACGCTCAATGAGGGCTAATGACCTTACGCTCACCAGATGTCACCAGTTGAGACTGAGGTAGTTATTTGTTACACAATGGCGGTACTACAAGCTCCGAGTTGCAATGTGTCGAACTCGGGACTGATATACGAGTGCCATCAACGATTGAATGAGGTATGTAAGCACAACAATGTGACTCTGCAATGGATCAAGGGACACAGTGGATCTAGAGGCAATGATGCAGCAGATGAACTGGTCAGAAGGGCGTCGGCTCTGGCAAGTATAGGGCCGGAACCTATAATATCAATCCCCTTTGGCTACATTCGTTCACTAATACGTAGATACTTCAATAATTTACACGCTCAGCTTTGGAAAAATTTAGTAGACTGTAGACAAGCTAGGTAGGCCCTGCCTGAAATAAACAGTCGTCTAACCAAGGTATTAATGAGACTGAACAAGCCACAGATCAGGATAGTAACAAGTGCTATCACAGGACATGGCTCTTTTAACAAACATTTGTTCACCATAGGTGTTACTGATAGCCCCCTGTGCAGGGCATGCATGGGAGAGGAAGAAACGGCGGCTCACGTATTGCTGACATGTCCAGAAGTCGCTTCATACAGGGCTAAACATCTCGGCACGCCGGGATCGCTCCCCCGAAGTTGCTTGCAATATCAAAGGACTGCTGAACTTCTTCAGGGAAATATCACGGCTCGAATAACCATATTATTCCTGCCCACACGCAAAATACGCGCTTAGACGTGGAGTTGCGGAAAACAGCCCGTCGTAAACTTATTAACTAACTAACTACACAATGATATCATTGAGAAATTGCATTATAAATAAAAGTTTATTGATTACTAGAGTTTATTATTATTCGTAGGGATAGAGCAGTTATTATTCGTAGGGATAATATGTAATAATTATGAGTGATAAATGATACTTTTATCTATTACGAGAAAATATTAATTACCTCTAACTGATTTAATAAAAAAGGCATAATAGAACCATTTCATTCATGACCATGTTGTGTGAAAACGGAAAGTCAAAGTAGAAAGAATATTTTGTTTAAAAAATGATGATTCGGACATAATATCGGAAAATCAAGTATTCAAGTTCGAGAGTCTAACTTGCTTGAAGTTAAGGTTATACGTGCCATTATTTATACGTGTTATACGGCTTTTATACATGCCACTGCTGGGAACAGGCCTCTTCTAATTTCTGAGAAGTTTTTTGGGCAAGGAAATGTCTACTCTAATGCCTGTTGGCGAATTTCACATGTCTTCGAAGTATTTGTCTTCTTATTTCTTAAATATGCATGTTTCCTCACGATGTTTTCCTTCACCGCCGAGCACATGGTAAACCACCATTTAAAATTATAGTCGCCACATACGGTCAGTTCAACTGATCATTCATACTGATCAGTTCAAACTAAAACGATTGATATTCTTTAAAATATACCAAACAGTAATGTGGTTTTCTCTCAAATGAGACATTCCAAAATGTATGGAGCCTGCGGCTGCAGTCTCGACATAGATAACAATCACTTTACAACCAATATTTGTTGTTAAGTCATAACAATCCGAATATAACGATTTTTGGTAGTCTGTACTGTCAAAGCGATCGGTACCGATTGTAAACTTTACAATTATTTGTTATGTTTGCTATTATTTTAACTACCATTTTTGACAGCCCGCTAAGTGTTCGTTACGATCATAAGTTGTTTCACAGTTTTATAAATAATCTTTATCTATTATAATATAAGGTTATAATAAAAGTATTAAGTAATTATGGCGGAATCGTATTTAGCATGGGATTTGTTAGAAAACAAATTGTCTACATAAATTTGTTTTTATAAGTATGAGTTTTACCCCATTGTACTTTGAGCGCTGTCACGTCATTTAATTTAATTTTTGATTAAATAGCTGTTACTTTTCTATAAGCAATTTGAAACATATTGGAAAATACAGTCTTACAAACTTTTATGTTGATACCATCATTAGGTAGAACACAGATATAAGTTGTGCTTCTTTTCCTTTTTTGGTTTGTTAGTGCTCTTCTGACATTTTCAGATCTGATGAATTTCGGGAGATACATTTTTTTTCAGTGTTACTTTTAAGCTATAGTATTGAGAAAAGAGGTCAAAACCACAAAACTTTTCATAGCACTTGTAATTGAATGTTGCTATGCATTATATGCTTGTCCTTAGTTTTTTCTTTACCATATTTTTACCGCCTATGTCCACTTAGCCCTTCAATTATCATGTTCATAAGTAATCTAATATTAAAAGCTTAGTCAAAATAATGTGGGATCAACAGGTATTAAGGCTATTTCCAGCCTGCATAAATTGCTTAAAAACATGAAGTATCTTCCCCTTATTATTGATAGTAAAAAGTGTTATTGGATACATTTCACTGAGCAGTTTAAGTGAAAAAGTTTAAATTATACTCATTAGTCTTAAGGGCTTAGATAGATAGATTAGATATATTAGATTATATTTTTATTGCACCTAGTTACACTCTAGAACATCATCAATAATAAATAAATCTATTTATTATTTATTAGCACAAAAAAAGTACACTCCTAACTAAGTTTATTTTAAATTATTTTAGGTGTGTGACCCAGACCTGTTAATTTTGAACATCAATGCTAAATGGCCAGGAGCTAGACACGAGCAGCCTGCGCCTGCGTCACTGTCCCCCACCATTGAAATTTTTATATAAACTATATTTTATATATTAAAATATATGATATGTTTTATAAAATGTGTAGCATAAAATAAATGATATGTAGGTAATGTCAACGTTGTCAAATCGAGACAGACATGTAATAGTGTTGCAAGGAGGCAAACTTTTATGTCCTTTGATATTTAACAAGTTAGTTCAATTCTTAGAAACGGTAAAAGCTACTTGTAAGTTACATACAAAATATTTTTATAAGAAAAGGTTTCTTCTATTTCTGTACAATTTTCAAAGAAAAGCAATTATTTTTATAAAATAATGTCTGCAACTTTTCCCTATTATTTTTTAACAGCCAACATTTTTTTAAGAAAACCCGCACTATGAATACGTTTTTCGTTAGCGTAACAACATAATTAACGATCTTGCACGGAATTTCGGCATAAGAGACTTGCATTTATTGTAAGCATCGTTACGGCAAGCAATTTTTGTTGTTATTATTTAGCGATCGGTAGTTTGCGATGGAGTCGCTATCTATGTCGAGACTGCAGCCACTGGGCTATGTCCTTGTACATTATACTCAAAAATAGGGAAACACATTTTAAACGGATGTCAACTGTCCAATTATTTTATAATGGCTTTGTTTACTGGTAGCACAGAAATTACACCTGAAATTGCAACACACAGCAAAAACCCGTCATGGCGGTAAGCTGTCATCTGTATCGATTAGTGTCATTTTACATCTTCTTTTTCTTCTTTTTTTTATGGCGGTTTTTGATTATTCGCCAATGTCAGCGTGGAAGTGTTTATTGAGTACAAGCTCAGTAGTTACAAATACTATGCCCATGAACTAAAGAAGATTGTGATAATACAAGTGTCTTGTTTTATTTAAACAATTAAATTTTCCTTTTTATCTTATAATACTAGTGGTTGTACTGTTGAATTACCTGGGACAAATGACAAACACAGTTGCTATAACTACTTTAGTATATTAGTATTGACCAACATTAAACTTTTATACTATTAGAGTTAATAAAATCACACAGAATATATACATAAGGAGTGTTTGTGTAGGTTAAAAGTGAATCAAAATTTATAGGACGAGGGATGTCAGGAGGGAGGTGATCATAGAGTGAAGAAGATAATTTAGGACAGTTAAAAAAAATATGGTCAGAAGTTCCCTCATCTAACCCACATTCGCAGAGGGAACTGTCCCTAATCCTCAGTTTGGCTAAATGTACTGGTGTACAAGCATGGCCAATTCGAAGTCTACAGATAGTTGATGTTGACTGTTTGTTAGCTTTATTAAATTTGAAAAACCATGGTTTTGGAGGAATGGCACCTTGTATAGCAGCATAGTGTTTACCTTTTATATTTTGAGTGGCTTTCCATAATGTATTCCAATTATTATTTAACTTCTTCTTTGCAAGTAACACTATGTCTGAAGAGTAAACTAAATTACATGGCAAACCATTTCGACTTGCATTTTTAGCCATCAGATCAGCTGTTTCATTGCCCTTGATGCCACAATGACCTGGAATCCAAGCTAAGGAAACCTGAGTACCCTTGAGATGACATGTGTACAATGTGTGTTTAATTTTGAGGATCAAGGGTATCTTATATTTACTTTGGAACTGGTTTGACAAAATTGCTAACAAACAGCTTTTGGAGTCGGTAAGAATAACTGACTTATTTAGGTTGTGTGCTTCTATATAAATTAAAGCTTCATAAATTGCCGTGGCCTCGCCAGTAAAAGTGGAAGAAATAGAAGGGCATTTAAAATTGAGGATTATTTTGTATCTGGGAATCCAAACGGCTGCTCCAGTGCAACTTTCACCTGACTTTTTGGAGGCATCAGTGTATATAATAAGCCAGCCTTTCCATAAGTTATCTATGACTCTACTTAGTTTACTATTTGCTATAGGGCAATCTTTCTCAATACCAAGGTCGAGGTGGATATTTGGTTGATAAATAATTGCATCATATGGGATATCAAAGATGGGACAGGACTTGCATTGTGATACTGGGTGTGGTAGATGGAGTAATGTTACCAAACTGTTGGATAAGCAGGGAGATTCTTTATGAGTCCAGTAATGCTTTGATGAAATATATTCCAAAAGAAGGTGTAATTTAGAAATGAGCGGGTGGGAAGAGAGTTGGTAGATTTTAAAAAAAGAATCGGTCCGAAAGATATTGTCTTCTTAGGTAAAGAGGGGGATCTACACATCGACTTGGAGAGCATTTATTGGG